GTTTTCTGTATCTATGACTCTGTTTTATCATGTCTGTTCATTTGTTTTGTTTTTTAGATTCCACATAAAAGTGAAATCATAGAATATTTGTCTTTGTGTGACTTATTTCACTTAGTATAATACCCATTGGATCCATCCATTTTATTGCAAATGGTAAGATTTCATTCTTTACAATGGTAATATTCCATTATTATATTAGTGTGTGTGTGTGTGTGTGTGTGTGTGTGTGTGTGTGTGTATAAAATGGAATATTACCATTTTTACCATATATATATCACATCTTCTTTATCCATTCATCTGTTGCTTAGCACTTAGGTTGCTTCCATATCTTGGCTCTTGTAAGTAATGCTGCAGTGCACACAGGGGTACATGTATGTTTTCAAATTAGTGTTTTTGTTTTCTTTGGATAAATACTCAGGAGTGGAATTGCTGGATCATATGGTAGTTCTAGTGTTAACTTTTTGAGAAACCTCTGTACTATTTTCCATAGTGACTCTTTCAATTTCATTGATTCCTGATCTAATTTTTATTATTTCTTTTCTTCTACTTACTTTGGATTTAATTCACTCTTCTTTTTCTAGTTTCCTGAGATGGAAATATAGATATTGGTTGTAGGCATTTCTCCTTTTCTAATATATGCATTCAATGCTATGATTTTCATTCCTAACACTGCTTTCACTGCATCTCACATATTTTGATAAGTTGCATTAATTTTCATTTAGTTGAAAGTATTTTTTAAATTCATCTTCTTTGACTAATGTGTTATTTTAGAAGTGTGTTGCTTAATCACAACCTATTCAGGGACTTTCAAATTATCATTCTGTTGTTCATTTCTAGTTAATTCCCAGTTGGAATTCCATATAAGGTTCATAACTTAATTGTTATATCAAAGTGACTGAATATTTTGTTCAAATAGCAGTCAAAGAGCAGACATTGCATGATTTCTATTCTTTTAAATTTGTTAAGGTGTGTTTTACTCCAGAATGTGGTCTTGGTGAATGTTCATCTGGGTGAGTGCTCCATGTGAGCTTGAGAAGAGTGTGTATGAAGTAGTCTGTTGTTGGATGAAGTAGTCTGTAGATGTTATTATATACAGTTGATTGATGATGTTGTTGAGTTCAATTGTGTCCTTACTGACTTACTGACTTTTTGCCTACTAAATCTGTCCATTCTGATAGACAGGCACTGAAGTCTCCAATTATGACAGTGAATTCATCTATTTTTCTTTGTAATTCCATTAGCTTTTGCCTTACATGTTTTAATGCTACATCACTTTTTTTCTTAGCCAAAGGTATTTTGTAAACTTGTAAAAATTATATGAATAGTTTAATGCAAAATTCTTAAATGCTTAATACTTAAAATTATCATTGCTTCCCTTAAATAAAAATATTTTATTTAATAAAAATGATTAGCTCAGAATTGTACAGTATTTCTCATATAGATTTCTGCTGTATAATGCCAATCCTATGCAATACAATAAGAACTGCATCATTCACTGTTCATTTTTACCACTGCTCTTCTGAATCCTGAAGGGCAAGGAAGGGGTGCTCAAATAAACACGAAACAAAATACAATCCAAATAAACCGTGCAGAGTGATTCCTAATAGTTCTAAGTACATTTTGACTAAGCTCTTCAACCAGGGAACTAGGGGATAAATGCAGGTATTGTTCCAGGACTGATAAGAAGTTTTGTTTTTATAAGCTTGGTAAAAGCTTTGTACTAGAAGTCACAGTTTAAGGATGCATGTTCTTTAAATAGTTATTACACATATATAGTCTCTGTAAATACTAGAAATACATATTAGACAGGGTCTGTGTATCTCTCAAAAGTCGGGTACAGTTGTTTTGTTTTGTTTTGTTTTTAAGTAAAGTAACATAGTTTTCAAAGTCCACAGGAATCCTGCCTGAAGAGTTTGAACAGCTGCCAGTAACTCTCACTGTGCAGGAGTTACGGCATCTCTGTAACCCTTAGGGTTTGCCCAAACTGGATTTTCTGGCTTTCAGTATAGCAAGTGCATCTTTCACTGTGTGGAAGATAACATTCTTCACCGTAATTTATCTTCACAATTAGTATGAGTTTAGGACAGATAGCAGAATTCCTGAGTAAGCCAGAAACATTGTTTAACATGCTCTGGAGAGACAAAATATTCAGTCACTTTGATGCAACTATTAAGTTATGAACCTTTTATGAAATTCCAACTGGGATAAATGCCACATCCCAAAGGAACTGTATAATAGCCCAGCCTTGAACTCCACACTCTTGATAAAGATGCTTTCTTAGCAATCAGTCTAAATACCAGGTCTGAAAACTGATAGAATCATGGCTGAAGGGTTTTCCTGAATTTGCTCTTCTGATGCCTTTAAAGAATTCTCATATCTTCACCAGCATATATTTGCCAGGGGCTCCTGACTTCTCCTTTCTTCCAATAAATTGCTTGATTGTGAATTCATGAGAATTTCCATCTTGCACAATTTTAAGGATTTCTTGGTCACTCTGTCCTTTGGGAATTCCCACATAGACCAGGACATTAGCTGCATCAGATATGTCTCAGTAAAGACATTGCTCCACATTTTCTGATCTTCTGAAATAATTAACCCATAAGCATTATATGTCTTGGGACCCCAATCTCACCAAATAAAGTAGTCTGACAGTCTAGAGACAAAATTCAATTTGTCATCTCATCCGTGTATTCAAGCAATGGAATGTTGGCCATGAGATCATCAACCCTGGAGGGCATCATATCTCTAAAACTTCCCCCGATGGCCAGTCCTTAAATTTCCACATCAGTAATTCTATATCATTTTCCAAGAGATATGGAATATCTCCAAATCCATTCCAGAAGTCTCTTACCATGTATTCTGTGATGATTTCATTGGTCTTTGGTATAGGCTAAATGTTTTGTGTCCCCCCAAAATTCATATGTTGAAACTTAATCCCCAGTGTGATGGTATTTGGAGGTGAGGCCTTAGGTTTGAAGGCAGAGCCCCCATGGGTGGGATTAGCGCCCTTAGAAAAGAGACCCCAGAGAGCTCCACTGCCCTCTTCCATCAAATGAGGACACAACAAAGACAGCCACCTATGAACCAAGAAGTGGACCCCACGAGATACCAAATATACTGGAGCCTTAATCTTGAACTCCCCACCCTCCAGAACTGTAAT